AGAACACAGAGATTTAGAAGTTGGAATTTCAAAGATGTGGAGGGTAAAATCTGTGGTATCATAAGATTATCCCAGCTTTAAAAAGCTCTGTGACTTAACCATAATATAATGGCAATACTACTACTACTACTTATACTGCTACTACTACCACTACTACTACTACAACTACTACTACAGCTACTACTACTACTACTACCACCACCACCACTACTACTACTACTACTACTACTACTACAACTACTACTACAGCTACTACTACTACCACCACCACCACCACTACTACTACTACTACTACTACTACTACAGCTACTACTACTACAGCTACTACTACTACAACAACAACAACAACTACTACTACTACTACTACTACTACTACTACTACTACAGCTACTACTACTGCTACTACAACAGCTACTACAACAGCTACTACTACTACTACTACTACTACTACTACTACTACTACTACTACTACTACTACTACTACTACTAATACAACTACTACTACTGCTACTACAACAGCTATTACTACTACTACAACTACTACTACTGCTACTACAACAGCTACTACTACTACTACTACTACTACTACTACTACAGCTACTACTACAACTACTAATACTAATGATGATGATGGTTAATCGGGTATGCTTAATAAGCACCTAACTACGCTACGTGCAATGGTTGGTTGGTTGGTGAAAGTGTGGGATTTTCCAGAAAAACCAGTTATATTTATAGCTTACTCTTACTCTCTATCTCTCTCTCCCTATTTTTCTCTCTTCTATCTGTATCTTTCTATATATATATATATATATATATATAATTGTGCGCGTGTGCACGTGTGTTTATATTTTTAAATATGGTTATATATATGTGTGTGTATGCATGCATATATATATATATATATATATATATATATATATATATATATATATATATATATATATATAAAGAGAGAGATAGAGAGAAAACTGTTTTTTAAATATATGATCCAGAAAAATTTTGCCGCATTCAAAGCCATTGTTGATTGTTATCATATTAATTTTCCTCAAATTATGAAATCTCTATTCATTTAATTTGTAATTTTGGGTTTTGAATTTTGTAAAAAAATTAACTTAAACAAACTTTTTGGAGAACCAAATTTGTTATACTTGCCATAAAATATATTTAAAATGATATTTCAAATTTAATTGATAGCTTAACATTCATTGAAAGGTGGCTTGTTACGTATTAATGACGTCATTGTGACCATTGCTTCTGAGAAAAAGCTTATGATTGGTAGAATTCTATAAGAGGGCAATTCCCGAAGTTAGCCTCTGCTTTCGGCCTTGACCTTTTTTCAAGGGACAAAATGTTTCAGCGTAAAAGTAGACGTGGTTTTCTGATTAAATTAATTTAATTTTTCTAAATAAGTCATCATTATTTAATTACATTTCAATTTTACTTCCAAATTGACAATTTAGATAGATGTTTAATTATAGTTAAATCATTAATGATACTTAATTACTGCTATCATCATCATCATCAACAACAACATCGTAATTACTACTTCTATCATCAGCAGTATTTGAAATAGTAGTAGTATTATAAAACATTTCAACAGAATAGTAGTAGAAGTAGCCACATGAGCAGCAGTAATTGTAGTAGCAGCGGCAGAGCCTCATTATCACCTAGTTTGATCTCAATTAAACTTTAGTTATTAATTAATTAATTAATTATTAAAGAGACAGTATTTTACTAAAAATTATTTAAAACAATTTCTGATTAGCGATTTAGTCAAATAAATAAAGGAATATTTAATTTATTCATCCCTACGCAGATAAAATGAAATAAACATTTGTTTATTATTTTAGGTGACGTATTACTATGTCTGGCCCATGGATGACGTCACTAAGATGACCACCATAACAATAAACAAGATGGCGGAAAGATAGATAACTACGAACTTTAGAATATAATTTTTTATGAATATACTTATAATATAATGATGTTAATGTAAATATAAATGTATGGTAATAAAAATTGCCGGTTCTAAATTAATCGTAACTTTTTGGAATTTTTAAAACATTTTTAGCAAGAATTATTTAAAAATTATTTTAACAAACGTTTTGACATTGAAACTAAAGATTAAATTGCTAAATCATTTCGAAAATTATCATCAACCACGAAATGAATTAAAAAAGTTTAGTTAAGCACTTCATAATTTATTTCTACAATCTTGGAATTTCCGATGTTTATTCGTTTATTATTGAATCTATTTATAGATTTATAAGATTGTCGATAACCATGGAATTCCCGGATTTCAAAAATTAAAAACAGGTGCAAAAAAGCGCTTAGTTTATGAAGAAAATAAAGGAAATAATTACCGTCACCATTTTTCGTTATAATATTTGTTATTTATGATTTATTTACTATAATATATAGTTAAAATTGTTTATTTAAGATTAGTTATTCAATATTATTTAATAAATTAGTTCAAAAAACCATTTAACGAAATAAAGTA